GAATCAGAAGCTGACTTTTCAACTTCAGCAGGTAATACTATATCTTAGACTTTAGTTTCGTTTATAAATTATTTAAATATTGTAATGCAGGCACATTGGGCTCACACTTACGAGTTTGCAGCTGTCCTGAGCATATCCTTTAAGAGCCTTAAAGTGTTGCATATTTACAGTCCGATTAAATGTTATCTTGGGCACAGAGTGAACGCAAATGCAACATATTCTACTGCTGGATATTGTTTTTTGTAACTTAAATGTTGTTATGAAAACATAATTCAGGCAGGCAAAGCTTGTCTCCAGTTAGTCGCAATGCAGCTTGATTGCTGCTGGTTATTTTATTTGCAAGGCAGCTGGCAAAAGATGCAGCTAATGCCTTGCTGTTTGCTTTGGGTCAAACGCACACTTACTTTAATTTAAATTTAAATTTAAATTTGGATATATAAAGTATATATACATGAGCTGAGCAAGTCTCTAATTAAATTGAGCAGATGCTTTTGCTGCTTAAGCGCGCATGAATATGAAATTTATATCCTTGAGCAACTGGATATCATAGTTAAGGCTGTGCGTGTGTGTGTGTGTGTCTGCTTTGTTGTAATTTTAATTATGCCCAAAACCTGAACATAAGTAATGCAATATGTGTGCGTGTGCGTGTGTGTCTTGTACAATTATTGAGCTTGTCGAGCAGAAAGTGCGCACCGCACCGCACGGGCTTAAATTGTTTTAATTTTTATTAAAATTTTTGTACATGCAGCTTAATGATGTTTAGGCCGTAGAAAAGCATCCGGCAGCAAAGCGAAAATGATCTGGCCTTAGGCTTAAATTCGGTTATATGGGCATGTGGGCGGGGCACCTGCCACGCATGCTGCCACAAATATTTCATGAAATGCGCTAAACTTTTTACCCAGCCCACTTTTTTCTGCTCGTCGCACAGCTGCCACAGTCAGCGTGCAAAACCAGGCCAGCAACGCCCCCCGCCCCCCTCAGCCAAAACATAGAGACCCCTTCTAGCTGAAAAACCCTTTCGTTCGCTGCGACAGTCAAGCGTCTCGGCTTGGCAAAACATGCAAATATACACACAAAATTATAATTATTATGAAATTTTGAAAATGTTTTGCCCGCAAACTCTCTGCCTGCCAGAACGCTGCTGTCAACGGCAGCGACTGAGGCCTTCAACACGTTTACCACAAAGCCAAATGCCAAACGGCAACATTGAGCGGCAAACCTGCCCCAAGCCCAAACCCAAGCCGAGGCGCCCACATAGCACAACATGCCACACGGCCTCAAACACTTGCCGCATTCTCACTTTGCGTGTCGAGGCTGTGGCAAAGGGTTCTTTCGTTTTTTGGGCATTTGCCTAATTTGCACGTACTTTTGTGACGTCATTGCGCGTAATTGAAAGCTGCTGGAGAAAAGAAGAAAAAAAACTGAAACAGAAACAGAAACAGAAGAAGTAGAAGATGAAAAATCCCATTTAAACACAATTCGAATTGTGCGGCCAATTTGAACTTAATTAGCCAGGTCGACAGTCGCGGCGATTAATAAACTTGTTCTTAATTACGTGACCAACATCAATATTTGGCCAAGTCAATAAGAAATGAAGCGAAATCATTGACCGACTGACGGACAGACTGACGGACAGACTGACGGACGGACGGACTGAGCCAAAGCGAAAAGTGGAAAAACCAATCAACACAAAATTAAACAAGAATCGCGACTCATTTGGCTGCAAAATTAAAAAATACCTCGACAGCCAATTTCTCCAGCTTCTTCTTTTTTGCTGCTTGCTCTTCTCGAGAATGAATTGCGTTTAGCATTTGTCCAGAACCGAACCCCCCTCCCCCCACCCCCCTCTGCGCGGCTGCCGCCAAGCGTTGCCAATACCATTAGTAATTTACCCCAACCATTTCCAGTCGCCTTCCTCCGGCAGGTCGCTAAGCATTCTTCCTGGCTGCCAGCGCAACAAATTTGTCTATTTTTACTTGCTTTCTTTTTCATATACACTTCATTTGGGGCATTTTGATTTTCTTGTGCCTTCAAAGATGTTCTTTGGATTAATTTTTAAATAGATTCCATCTGTTGGGTATCTTTATAATATATTAACCATATTTAACAAATTATTATGTCAGCTTTTTTAAAGGGTATCTACGCTGCGGCTAGTCGAAATGAACCCATCTTTCTTCTGCTTTTTTAGGTGTCTTTGGCTTTGCTATGGCTTTTACATTTATTTTTGATTTCTTGTTTTTTATTCTTCGGTTATTTGCATGTCATTTATTTTGTTAATGTTCGTTAATAAACAACCACAATAAGGCACAGTGCCAGGGTGGGCGTGGCCGAGTATAGAGGCGTCGCCCATTTAGCGACAAGTCACAAGCAACACAAGTAGCAGCAGCAGCAGCAACAGCAACAACGGCAGCAACATCAATTTCAATTCTCACACTTGCCACGCCGTGGACAGGCGGGGGCAGGCGCGGGGTAGCGGGGGGGGAGGCGCATAGTAAATATTTCGCGCCATACCAGAAATATGGCAACAATTTATAAGTGATTCGTCATTGTTTATTGGCTTCATCGAAGCGCGAATGAGCCATGGCCAGGAATTATGGTTGACAATTTGGCCTAGCCCCCAGTCCCATCATAAATTATATGGCCGCGATGCAATAACAAATCACAATGTTGTATCAGTGCCCGATTGTTGTTGCTGTTGCTGTTGTTGTTGTTTCTCTGTCTTCATTAGCAGATTGGGCAGCGAGATTTTTGGCCATTTGTTGACCACTTTGAAGGGCTCTAGCCACACCTGGCAGGCAATAACTGGCGGGGTTTGAAAATAAATTAGTAGCAAAACGAGCTTAAATATGAATTAAATATGTTGTTTATTGCTTTTTTGGCGATTTAAGTTTACACGATTTTATGTTATTTTAATATTTTGTTTTAATTTTATATATTTTATTTAGTTAGCCAAGGAAATAGCTGAAATCTGAATGCGATAGCTTTGGCCTTATCCTGGCAGCAGCTGACCAGCAAAGGTATCAGTATATTATCCTTTCCTGTCGACTCTCGTGGCAAACTCAACTAGGTAAAGTCAGGAGCGGCTCCAGAAATGCGCCAGATCAAACAGTCACGAGTCATAAAGGATACCAAAGCCTCACCAAGAGATCCCGTGAAATACGAAGTGCAGAGCATTATAAATGAACTGTTTGCTGTTTTACTGTTTTAAGTTCCATTGAATAAATGTAATTATATTATTTTTTGTTCGAAATTAAAAACGAGAGAGAATAAAATCGCTGCAAAATGCAGAAATATATCAAATTTATCGCCCCTCTATGGTTCCTAGTTGACTTATATATTCCTGATTTTACCATATCATGAATATAGTCCTGGTAAACCTAAAGTTCAGAAAGCAGTGCTCCAAAAAATATGTATGCTTTTTTTTTGCAGCCCCTTCTTCTTTAATGGTTGCTAGTTGACCCATATATTCTTGGTTTTACCATACCATGGATATAGTCCTGGTGAACCTAAAGTTCAGAAAGAAATGGTCCAGAAACATGTATGCTTTTTCTTTCAGCCTGACCCTAGCTCCCCGCTTAAACGACCTATAAAAGCGACAATGAAAGTATGCAATAGAAATTAGGGAACATTGAGTTAACAGCCAACCTAACTAACAGTCCGTTTAGTTAACAGTGGCTGTCAAGTTGCTAACAGCGACAATGAAAGTATGCAATAGAAATTTGTCCTGTTAGTCAACAGGGGCTTAACATTTTTGCACCTTCCGCGTATTCTGTTCGCCTGGTATTTCAGCTGAACTTTTGTTGAAATGTCGTGACCAATTATCGAAAAACAAAACTAGGTAAATACAAGGCCGATTTTGATGTCCTTTGGTCAGTTGGTAGCCCTGGTCAAAACAAATTATTTGGCACAGGACTCGCCCGGATCCGCAAGGATACGGCTGAGCAATAGACTATTTTATGTGCTTGGCTCGTTGAAGGATTTTCGTCCTTTTCATTGCATATTCTGAATTTGCAGGACAAGGACTGTCTGTTGGCTAAAGGACATCAGGATTGTCCTTGAAATCAGCCAAGGAAAATTGTTTGTTTTACTTCTAACTGCACAACCACACGAATCTTTTTGGGAAACTTTAAATGGCCATATCTCGGCCAAATAAAGCCCGATATCGGGCAGATTGGCCGCGATAAACTCGTGGAGGCCCAAAGAACAGAATGGCATCAACGTTTTTTGATTTCAGAAAAATGTCATTTTTCGAAAAAAACGTGATGGTTACACTGTATTTTTGATGATTTTGGGTGATCTCTTGGAATGCGGATTTTTGGGTGGCAATCGATAGTCGGCAACCGTACGAGTAGAAAGAGGTGTACCACTTCGAAATCGGACTGTATTTAGCCGAGATATTTCCAAAAAACACTAAATAAAATGTTGGAGTGATGCGTATATTGTGAATGGTAATTTTTATGCGCCTACCAAAAGTATGCAATGCTTTGTTTGCTTTACTTCCAAGTGCACAACCACACGAATCTTTTTGGGAAACTTTAAATGGCCATATCTCGGCCAAATAAAGCCCGATATCGGGCAGATTGGCCGCGATAAACTCGTGGAGGCCCAAAGAATAGAATGGCATCAACGTTTTTTGATTTCAGAAAAATGTCATTTTTCGAAAAAAACGTGATGGTTACACTGTATTTTTGATGATTTTGGGTGATCTCTTGGAATGCGGATTTTTGGGTGGCAATCGATAGTCGGCAACCGTACGAGTAGAAAGAGGTGTACCACTTCGAAATCGGACTGTATTTAGCCGAGATATTTCAATATGAAATGTGGTCTATTGTGAATGCGTTGTTTTCATGCGCGGCCCAAAAGTATGCAGTAAGGTGCAAGCATATTATTTGAACAGGACAAAAGTATGCAATTGTTTTGTTTCCCAAATGATAAAAAAAATTCAGGAATTTTTTTTGTTTTTTTATTTTTTCAAAGCGATATTTTTTTTTACAGCTTGTTTTAGACACTAAACAGATTATTTTTACAAATCTACAGATACTTTGTAAGCCTATTTTGAATTTAAATGCTGATTTCATTATTCTAAAACTACTTTATCTAAACTGTTTTTCATCGCTTCCGCTACGGCCACAGGATGACCGAGATGTTCTTTGTGATCCAGTCGTACCAGGGTTCTCTGAAAATCTGCAAGATATAAAATTAGCTTTTAATATTAAGTGCGGCGCAAGAGTATGCAATAGTTAAATGAATAATCATTTGTCAAATGTTTTAAATTACAGCTGTAAGATTGGTTGGTTTTTTGGTTTTGGGAGCCGCGTAGAAGAAGGCAGCGTTATACATTATTGACAGTGAGAAGAAGAAGAGAATGAAATGCAATTTGGAATTTAAATGGGAACCGATTCTTTAAAGGCGTGCTGTCGACTTGGAGATGCCCTGTAGGCAGATGTAAAACTCTACAATATTTACCTTTGCTGCGCTGTGCAAAAGTTTGTTTCTTGAATAACTTTTGTGCTTACTTTTCGATCATTTCCGTTTCCTTTTACCTTTTACCTGTTACATGCGCATGCACAACCTGTCCGCCCAATTGCAGCCTAAGAACAGGCGGCACGTACTCTCTGGCAGCTGGACAAAGTTTTCGCTTTTCAAGCTGACATTTCAGCTGGCAAGGCCTGCATAGATTGATTCAATTCGAAAGCATTTTCGCAAACGCTTTGCCAGCTCGCTAAGGCGCAGCAACTGCGGGCAGGTGGCGCGCTCGTGTGTGTCTGACTGTGTGTGTGTGTTGGTGACAATCGAGCGACATAAGTAAGCCCCGCAGCCGGAGTCCTTTGCTCAGTTGTTCGTCCTTTGTCTGCTTAAAGGCATTTTGGCAGGGCCCAAAAACTTCTTTGCGCACAAAATGCAAATACGAAACTTAAATGAAATGCAGTTGCACATGCCACAAAATGTAAACTTTTTGATTATCAAGTTTTTCGGCGTGTGTATGTGTGTGTGTTTTAATGTGTCTATGTGTGTGTGCCAAATAAATTTCATGCACAATATTAAGTGCAAATTGTTTTGTCGCAATTGTTGTTGATATTCGTACAGCTCTCTATTACGCTCGCTTCCTCTTGCTCTTTCTGTCTCCCCCTCTGCCTCTATGTGTGTGCGCGTGTGCGTGTGTTCTGGCGTCTTTTATATATTTTATGCACGCCACGGCGACGACAACAGCTTAGTACTCGAGCCTGGCAGGCGCGGCAGCTGGGGCAGGCGTGCGGCAAGTGGCAAGCGGCAACACGAGCGTGCGACAACAACAACGACAACAACAATCAGCTGGGACGACAATTTTGGCAACCAAAGCGCTTTTCTATTAAAATTTTCATTAAATTGAAAGCAATTAGTATGAGACGCCGTGCTATGTGGGCGAGAACAAGCTGACAGGGCTTCCAGTTCCAGGCAACAGTTTTCACTTTGCCACGCTAGACCAGACCCTAGAAACCCCCTCCACGCCCTACACGCTCGAATGTCAAAGTTGTTGTTGCTTGCCGTTTGTATTTTGATTATTGTCAAAACCCGAGGCAGCAGCTGCAATTTGCGGACACATAAAGGAGCAGAAACAGGAGTGGGTGGTGCGGGGGGGCTGCTCGGGTGGCAGAGGCGAGTCGTGCGTTGCGTAGCTGCTGCCATTCAATTCCTATGAGGCGCAAATTGCGTTGGCGATAATACAAAAGTCCTGGCAGCCCATCAAGATCTTGGTCAGAGCTGGAGCCGGCGCCGGACCCGGAGGCGGAGGCGGAGCAACCAAAAATTAATTTGCTGCCTGCCTGCAGCAGAAATAAATTCGTTTCACCTTGATTTTTGGTCATTTTAAGTGGTGCCGCGTCTGGTTGCCGTTGGCCACACAGCTGCGCTTTATTTTCATATATAAAAAAGTATATATATATATATGTTTGGTCCATTTTCATTGTTGATGGCATTTGAGCACTTCGGCTGCTTAGATCACTCAACTAGAAATTGATAGCGCTCCATGAGAGTCGGACCATTACTTTTGATGGCCGCGATTTTGGTGGCCATTTTGCTTGTCGCTCACATTTTTTTTTTTTTTTGACAGCTGCGCTGCTTATTAAGCAATTTCCGCTGTGCCGTGGTTTTTTTTTTTTTTTATTATTTGGTTGCGTCGTATATACTTTTTTTTTACTGTTACAGGTTGCTGTCATTGCAGAAATAAAAGAAGAAGAAGACCAGCCGCACATCAAGTGTTATTTATTGATATTCCGCAACGAGATTTTATGCTCTGTGAGCATTAAATGTGAAAATGTCCTTTGATTTAATAGCAATTGTTGGGCATTTGAGTGCGTCCATTATATTGAATCCGATTTTAATTCTTAATGCAAGCGCACACATACAAACACACGCGCACACACACACACACACACATACACGCACTTAAATAACAGTTTGTGGTGTGCGCTGGAACAGCTCGTCCTTTGAAAGTCCTTTGGCACGGAAATATTCTCAACTTTCATTGCGAAATGTGCAATGCGTGGAATAAAAGCTTGCCGAGACCATAATATATACATTTATATTTTTAGTGATATATATATATAACTATATATATACAGTACGACCTCGCTCAACGTAACCCTCGTTACACGCAACTCCTCGATAATTGCAACACCCGATTTCTTAACATTGTAGAAACAGCTACAGACCACAATTTCTCAATTTTTCCAAAAATAAATCAAGTAAAATGAAATCCTTGCTTTGAACACAGAACTATTCGATTTACTTTAATTTTAATGGTTAGCAAGGCATCTCTTTTTGGAAATAGATCTCAATGGCCAACAGAAAGTTTTCCCTCGATTTTAGCAACCACCTCAGGTCGTACTGTATATACATATATATATATATCCCTGATCAGTACGAGTCGTCTGTATATTAGTTAGTCTTTTAGTATTCCAACTAGCTTCAGATGTTTGTAAGATTTTGGCAAAACTCTTTTTATATCAGACTAACGAGCCCTTGAATATATAATATAGGATATATTTTGATTTTATGGTTATTTAAATTCATGGTTAATAGTTAAAACCACATCGCAAAACCACTTTGCCCTAAGGCTGTCATAGAAATGTTTCTTTTTATATTCCATGCATTTGCCGATTTAGTTCAATCGGATTCAAGTTAAATTCAGCTAACTGTGCGGCCCACTCAGTCGCTTCTCAATTACTTTTGCACACGTATTTAATTTTCGTCTTGCCTGATGCGTCTCTCTGCCACCTTTTTGCTTATTTGCTTGCTTGACTTTGACAGCTAAAATATTGAAAATGTGCCAAGGCGAGCGTCTCAGATATTTCGCAAAAATATTTTCAGCTAAAATTGAATTCCAGGCGGCAGCAGCAGCTGCTTTGTTCTGCTTCTTCTTTATATAAAGTCTAAAAATTTTTCAATAAAATAAAAAATAGCCGCAGGCGCACATAAAGCACAAGAAGAAACAAGTAAAAGTGCTTCAGATGGGCGTTGCCAGACTAGGAGATACCCTGAGCTATGGCTTAAAACATTTCTGCTTTCCTTATACATAGATTAACTGAGCTTCTTGGTTCTTCTCTTAGCTCGACTCTCTAGATTGACTCAGCTCGACGTCCTGATCAAGAATATATATGTTTAATAGGAGTTGGAGATGCTTTCTTCTGTCTGTTACGTGCATTTCCACATAAGCATTATACCCGTTTGACCCAACGGCCTTAGGGTATAAAAAACTCTTTGCGGTTTCGCATGAAGCGAGCATTTTCTTTGAGTTTGCGCTACGTGTTTGTTTTGATTTGAAAATTTTGCTGAACTGGCTGGGAAATAATTTGTGTGGCATTGATTATGCGAGTGGCAGAGCCCAAGGCTGTGCTACCTATACATATACACCCCTATATATATATATATATAATGTATATGTACATTTATCGAACATGGCCGTCAGCATGGGGCAGGTGGCACGTGTGTGGCTGCGGCTGCCGCTGCGGCTGAGCAGAGAGTTTTAAAGTCAGCTTTAAGCTTTATTTCCGTCCAATACACAGCGGCCACAGCACAGCGGCCACAGGATAGCTGAGAGTATGCCACATGGTTGCTGCAGCAGCAAGCAGCAAGACGGCAGAGCCGTGCCCCGCATGCCACACGCATTCCTTTGATCAATTTCGGTGCGGCCCCGAGCCGGGGCAATGTGTCTGCGTAGGCACAGCCTGGTGCCGACTTATTTTCTTTACATATAAATTTATATATATATATATATTTCTGGAATTTTGGCACGCACACGCACCTTGCCGCCGCTAGATGGCGTGCGCGTGCTGCCGCTTGTCGCATGTCAACGTTTTTTTTTCGTTCGTTTCTGGTTTTGGTTGTGTGTTATTTTTATGATGCTTAATTTCTGTCACCAGCCCCTCCCCCCCCTGCCCTGTGCCATTTGCATATTTGATAAACTTCTCGTTTTTCTTTTATTTCTGTCTTTCCGTTTCCATTTTCTTTGTGCGGCATAAATAAATAAATTGGGCGTTTAGCAAGCGCAGAAATTCAAAGTTTTGTTTCGTCAAATGTTAACAACAAATATTTGTCTGGGGGCCGCTCACATGATTGTTGTCATTATATTTATTGTTTTGATGTGGCAGCAAGGACATGCCCACACATGCCCCATTTAAGCGCCAACTCCTGCTGCTACTCATTTGTTTGCGGCAGGCAATTATTTTGCTGCTTCTAGTTGCCTAGCTTATATTTGGGAAAAGCCAAAAAAATAAATAACTGAGGCACACACACGCACACACACACACACGGGTAGGGACACACAGCAGGTGTCGCTGACAAGGCAACTGCGCCGGCATGGGCCAAACTTTTGTAGCCTACGGCTAAGGCCTTCGGCTTGGCTAATGGCCTGCCTTGCAGCGCACTTAATTTATCAACATCTTTTGCGGTTGACACTGACATGCAACAACAACAACAAGAGGAGCAACAACAACAACAGCAGCTGGTACCGCAGCTTTAATTGAATTTGCGTTTTGCCATTTGCCAGTTGAAGCGGGTTAAACAGTGGGAAGCACACTTTCCGCAAATGATGCGATTAATGCCATGCAAATGGCAATAAGATACATCCGGCTGCCAGTGGCAAGCAGCGCCAGGAGACAAACTCCATGGGGAGGGGGAGGGGGAGGGGAGGTATCCTCATCTCT